GGCAGCTCGCGCATATATGTACAATCGAAGTTTACTCAGCCAGAAGAAGAGATGAAATACTGCCATTTGCGACAACATGGAATGACCTCGAGATAATCATGCTAAGTGAAATAAGCCAGACAGAAAAAGTTGAAAATCACATGATATCACTTATATGTGGGATATAAACCTAAATGTAACAAATGGATGAGCAAGACAGAGAGTCATGGACATGTACAATAGACTAGTAGTTACCAGAGTAGGGGGTGGGAGAGGAGGAGGGAGGTAGACGGGGTAAAGAGGGTCAAATATGTGGTGACAGAAAGAAATGTAATTATGGGAGGTGAACATCCAGTGTAAATATATATATGCCTTACTGTTAAAGTGTACAGCTGAAACCTATTGGATTTTGTTAACCAATGTCACCATAAAAAAGTAAAAAATAAAGAATTCTGAACATTTATTCTGAACATTTCATATAAATGGTGAAAAAATTAATTAAAAAAAACTCAACTAATACGTAGTTAAGATTTGTGTGGTTCATTGTATGTAAATTTTACCTCAATATACAAAAGAGAAACTAAAGTATTTAAAGTTTACTGATGCATACTACATTATTTAGGGGAAATTGTGCTGATGTATGCAATTAACTTATGAGAAAAAAAGATAAACTGATAGATGGATAGAAGGAAATACAAATGAACAGATGATAAAGCGAGTATAGTAAAATATTAACGATAGAAGTGGTAGGTATATAGCTATTCACTGTAAATTTCTTTAAATATTGGTGCATGTTTGAAATTTTTCATATATAACCTTGAAAACCAATTCAGAATTGATTCTGCCATGTGTTCCCATTCTGTGATCATTCTTCCTGGGCAAAACTAGCGAACTCTCACAGACGGTGGTGCTACAGAGAGAGAAGGTTAGTGGCAGGTTGCCTGGAAACACTAAATTCCGTAGCATGAAGTCAAAGCACATGAAATTAAAATGCCCAATATGGAAACAAGCAGGCTGTTCACTAGTCAGAGAAAAAAGAAATTGCTCAAGAGCAAGAAGTGACCATACAGAAATACTTAAAATACCATAAAAATATAATTCAGTATTAAAATATCGGTCTGTTTTGTGATAACTGCCAGCTCTTTAATATGATTCTAGTCACTAACTAGTGGCATGACCTCAAACAAGATACTTTCTTTCTCTCTAGGGTTCATTTTCCTTATCCGTAAAATGGAGACAAATAATAATACCATTCTACTACCTCCCTTAAAAGGTATGATTTAAAATACAAAAATTAAATCCAAGTAGTTTGTAACTTGGATTATTCCTTAAGTGGTGGATGCTGTTTCTGGTGATTCAGTTATTCCAGATTTATCATGAGGGAATTCCATAAAATTCTCTTATGGTATTGTCCTTGCCAGTCTGGCACCAGGGATAATGACCTCTTTTGGAGACATGTGACAAAGCAAACCCTAAGGGAGAGGTTTGTTCCTTGAGATTTGCTTTTTTCTCCTGGGTCTATGCCTAAAAGTGAAAGTGCTGGGTCATATGGTCACTGTTTTTAACTATTTGAGGAACTGTCAGACTTTTGCAAAGTGACTGTATCATTTTACATTTCCACCAGCAATGCATGAGGGTTCTAATTTCTCCACATCTTTGTAAACATTTGCATTGTTTATCTTTTTGGTTCTAGTCATCCTGGTGGGTGTAAAGAAGCAGCTCACAGTGATTTGGATTTGCAGTCCCTTGAAGACTAATGATGTTGAGCATCTTTTCGTGGACTTACTGGCCATTGGCATATCTCCTTTGCAGATATCTATTCAAATCCTTTGCCTATTTTTAATTGGAATGTCTTTTAATAGTTCTTATATATTCTGGATACTAGACCTTTACATTATTTACAAATATTTTTTCCCATTCTATGGTTGTTTTTCACTTTTTGATAGTATCCTTTAGAGCATAAGGTTTTAATTTTGATAAAGTCCAATTTATCTATTTTTTCTTTAGTTGACTGTGCTTTCAGTGTCACTGCTAAGAAAACCATTGCCAAATTCAAGGCCATGATCACTTCTGTGCAGGAATACACAATCAAATAGAATTCCAAGTACCCATGTAATCCATGCAATAAATATTTACTGAATGCTACTGTGGTGTGAGAGACACTATGTGAAAGCAACACACATACCCTCATGGATTTTGCAATCAAACAAACATCATTCAGATAATTACTTTTGATAAGAGCAATGAACACAAAGTACAAACCGCTATGGAAATTTATGAAAGGAGAACTGCATCTACTCTGAGGTTTGGTGGTAAGAAGTGTTAGAGAGGCTGAAAGCTGTGAAATGAACAGAGACAGCCAGATGAAGAGTTGGGGGGCCATGGCAGGCAAAGGAAACAGCATTTGTGGAAAGCCTCAGTGGGGAAGTATCCTGGTACACTGAGGAATTGTTTTAAGTCCAGCCCTGGCTGGAATGTTTTGAGGTGGGGCTGATGGGGGCAGAGTGGTGAAAAATGAGAAGCTGGAACACTTTCTGGGGTCAAGAGATTTTGTTTAGTTATATGTGGAAAGCTTTATCTTTTCTTTCTTTGCTTTACAATTTCCTAAAACTCCCAAATAAACATGCTTTTATAATGAGTGAAGAGATTTTAAAGAGAAAAATAGAAACTCTAAAGTAGAATCAGATAGAAAGTCTAGAATTAAAAAATAAACAGTGGCTGATAAGAACAGTCAACTTGAGACCAGGTCAATATAAATTATCCAAAATGAAGGAAAGATAGGGAAAAAAAGACTAAAAAATAAATTAACAGCATATCAGTGCCCTGTGGAATAATAACATGCAGTCTAACATACATGTAATTGGAGTTCCAAAAAAAAAAGAAGAGAAAAAATGGGACCAAAAAGTAGTTGAGGAATGTCAAAAATTAAATTTAAAAAAATCTAATAAAAAACATCAACTTACAAATCCAAGAAGCCCAATGAATCATAAATAGGAAAAATAATACAAAAACACATGGGTACAACAAGGTCAAATTACTGAAAGCCAAAAGCGAAGAGGAAAAACAGGCAAAGGAAAAAGAGTCATTATATACCAGGAAACATTGATAAGAATGACAACTGACTTTTCATCAGAGACATAAGAAAGCTAATGGAATGACACTTTAAAGTGATAAAAGAAAAAATGGTCAATGTAGAATTCTCCATCTAGTAAAAAGATCCTTCACAAATGAAGACAAAGAGTTTCAGAAAAATGAAAGCTTAGAGAAATGTCAGAAGACCTACACTAAAAGCAAAATGCTAAAGCAAGTTCTCACAATAAAGGGAAATGGTACCAGGTAGAACCTCAGATCCACAAAAAAGACTAAAGAACTCCAGAAATGGTAAATATGTGGATAAATGTAAAAGACTACTTATCTCTTATTTCCTTATAAAACAACAAACTACTTAAAACAAAAAATAAAATGATCGTGGGTTTACAACATATGTAGAAGTAAAATAAATGTCAACAACAAAGGACAGGAAGGGGCAATGTGTTGTTATAGGAGACTGGTCATATGTCAGTCTCTAAAACCTCACTCACGTATCACTGGCACAGACGCGGAAACAGCTCATCAACAATTCAGCTGCTTTTTCCAACATGTCCCCGACTTTGCTTTTTCCTTTCTTTACCAACTGCTGATCTGCCTAATAGAATATAAAAACATTTACTTTTGATTTCTGCTAGATTTCTTAATGAAAAAAAGAAAATCACAGTGCAGCTAAAAGCAAAAATGGCTACATCTAAGAGTCGAAGTCCCAAAAGGTTCTTGTGAAATTATCTAGTCTGTATTACAATATTTTTAGAAACTGAGAAATCTATAGCTTATGCCAACTCTTCCACAAATCAAATCTCTTCAACAAATTCAAGCTACTAAGTCAGTCACCAGTTTTTAAGCCTATACTGCCATATAGCCCTGCACTACTAAGAAACCTTTTCTTCTCTCAATCAATGACCTTCCCATCGCCTATGCACAGCTAGTCAAAACCCGTGAAACCAAACTTTCGATAAATATCAAAGTCATTATTACCCAGTTTGACTCTTCCCTTGTTTTAAGGATAGCTTGGTTAAAGAACCAGTTTTCTCCTATTTACATTCTCTCTATCATAGGTTTTCAAAGGCTGGTCTATGAACTCCTGAGAGCCTTCAAGATGCCTGCAGATGATCCACATGGTCAAACCATTTTCTTGAAAACACTAAACCATTATTTCCCTTTACGATATTGACATCATACTGATGATGCGAAAAACAATAGTAGGTAAAACCACTAGAGCCTTTCCAGGGGCACCAAAATGATGAGTAGTCATCCTAACCTTAACATCATGCACCTACAATCCACCAATCATCTCTGCCTGTTGGTGTTCCTGAGTTTCAGGCTTCTCTAGGACCCAAGCTAGAGCAGACAGGAGGCAAAAAGGAAATGCAGAAAACTCGCTGCTGTTTCCCTTCTGGGAATTTTAAAGCGAAAATGGTTCCCCTCTCAGAACCATTTTGGCTTTAAAATTCTCAGCAAGAGAAATAGGAAAAATGTGCCTACTCCATCTTGTCCAGAATCAGAAGTCATCAGTAAATTTAAAAACTATAAAAAGGTCTTAGGACCAAAACTTTGAGAAATGCCACTCCAAAATTGGCTTATGCTGACCCCCAAGGGAACACCAACTCCATAAAACCCAGGATCTTTACCTCCTCATGGCAGGAACTACTGCCTCGATCTACATTAAGGTGGATTTCTTCAAGATAGGACAGGCCACATCTTAACAGTAGAAGAGAATGCAGAATCGCCATCTATTATTGCTCCACCCCCTTAAAAAATATCGTGTGCCATAAATGATTAACCATATACAGAAATAACTTCCTCTATATCTACAATGTGAAAAATGATGTTTATTTAAATCTGTTCATATCAACCCAAAAAGAACAATGAATTAAGACATCCCCTGTTTTTTTGCTCTTTACACTAGATATATCCCAACCCCAATTCATTCCTCAAAATTTTTGGAAAGAATGATAGGAAAATAAGCAAGAGACAGATACCAAGCCCGGGTTTGAAAACAATAGTAATAAAAATTGAACTTACATTATTGGCAAATACTCGAAGGTCAAGTGCTACTGCATACATGACAGGCAGAGCCCTATAGGGACAAAAAAAGCAAACGTGTTTGAAGAGGCTATGAGGTCAGAGAGTCCATTACCAGAGGTGGGAATGACACCATCACCCAGGGCTATTACCCAGAATGGGAGTCAGCATCCCTCCAAGAATCCAATGGCTACTGTTATCTGACTCACATTCCATCAGGGCCGGCTGCCCTGGGCTTTCTGATCAACACAGAGGCCAGACATTGAAGTGCTCCACACTTACTGCCCCAGACCCTCCTCAGAGGCCTAGATCCTGATCCATTTAGGGGTCCTCAGTCTGAGGCAGGACCTCCTCACACTGTTCCCAGGACATCTTCCCTCCCCTCACGTTCCCACCAAACAACTCGATTAAAACAAGATATGGTTTAGTAAGATTTCCTAACAGCAATGAGTATGCAATAGACAAAATGTCATAAAACAATTTTTTAAAAATCTTGCTGGCAGTATTGGTCTTCCTTTCACAGGTAAGTTAAGCCTTCATTTAAAAAGGGGGTGGTTTTTTTAATTTTTATTTTTTCTAGAAAAGGTTATTTGCAAGCCTTCAGTTATTTTAGTACAAACAAAATTTCAGTATTTACCTACAGTTTGTTAATACATCATAAAATTATGAATTAGTTTGACAAGCAATGTAAAATAAGCCAATTACTATGTATCACGTCACCCCCAAATGAAGTGTAGTTGATCTACCTCTTGTACAAGTTTAAAACCAAAAGTAAGTTCAAAATTGACAACTGAAGGGGAAAAATAGTATTTAATAAATATTTTAGGCCATTGAAGGGCTGAAATAAAAGTAATACTTCAAATTTATATAAACACACTGAAAATAATCTGGTTAATCTGCCATTTAATTTTATACTATTAACACTCCGTTATCCACGTCGACATTATTATGTCAATACATGATATTAAATATCCACATAGAAAACATAATACACAGAAATTCAGGACAAATTTTTTTAGTATGTGTTACCGAAGAGAGCACTATAGTAAATTTTTAAAAAGCTTCTGCTAAAAAGAAATACTTGCTAATTTCTAGCTGTTTTTGTTCATACTTACCAGTTTTCTTCTTTGTGGGCCTGAAATGCCCTCAGGAATGATGTACTATATTAAGGAACATATGACATGTAAAATTCAAAAAATGCTACAAATGTATAAAGAAGAGGAAGAATCTTAAATTTTAAGGGATATAGCTCACCATTTAGAAAATTATGTGAACTCACAGCAGTAAGTTCTTGAAGAAAAAAATGTATAAGCCCACTTATAAATATCTGAGTATCATAAGGTATAAGTTTACTAAATATATTTATTTCATACATATTTTCTTGAAAGTAAGAAAAAGACTATTGTTATAAGATTTTTTGGCAATCTCAAACATTTTATTTGGCTTCTCTGAGCCCAGATGATCACAAGTTCTATATAATGGGATACAGAATCTGTAGTATAAAGTTTAATTCATCAATTACAGAATTCTTGAATTCAAAGGAGACAGCTAGTTAGCAAACAACTCTCTTCTGTGTACGTTTAAACAAAATGGTTAAAAAAATAAGCAAACTAAAGTTTAGAGATACATTTAAATACAAGGACACTCACTGACTAGGGCCTTAGCTATGCAACAGCACTTAAATGCTTTAAGTCAGAAATTAGCTTGATTAAGGTCTTAGTGACTGCAATTAAATGATGATACATGTTGAGTCCACTCCTGTCCACCTACGCCCAGATTTTGGAGTTCTGATATTTCACCAAGCATACTTAACTGATTCCTATACCTATAATGCCTTGAAGTCAATAAAATATTACTTTTCACAACTGAATTAAATAAAATCCTTAATCATAACCAGTGTTCTTCTTTACTAGATAAGTAACTGGATGACAGTCTTAAGATTCATGCTAAATTTAAGTACTTGAGTGAAATAGCTAAGACGTTTCTCTTCAAAAGGTTTTAATTAAAGGGATGAATAAAATTGGCCCAATATTTCAAGATCTTAAGCCCTAAATAATCCACTGTATCTGTTATAAATTGAAACAGTTAACAAACAACAAAAGATATTGGACGATGACAGTTTGGCATTTGTATGCCTCTATGAAGTCATGGTTCCCTACCGCATAAGTGCACCTGAAAAAGAAAGATTGGAGACTGAGAATAGAGGCAGCAGAAAGTGCATTTATAGGATGAAAAACGTAGAAGTGAACTAAGTAGACCACACATCTTAATTCCATCACAAACATCCCAGTTCTAAGCTGATCCTGCAGTAAAGTTGGACCTCCTGTTTGGCAGGCTACAACAGTTGAAGATAAAGAAAACAATTATTTGAAGTAAAATGAGTTGGTATAAGATGAAATTCCACATTAAGTTTTGAGACTATTCTTTAAAGTCCCAGGAGAAACCTAGCTGCCAGCAGGTTTTATTAATAACATGTACTGATAATATAGTATAGCATTTCTACTGTATCAATGGCAGATGACCCTCTAACTAGATGCCTAGCTGGGTAGAGTCGGTATTAGTTCATCACTGAATCTGGAGGCTCATGGCACACTACACAGAACTGGGAAATCACAAGGAGCCTCACGCTGCAAAGAACACACTGGTACCCAAACTTTTCCAAAGATCTCACAGATCTATACTCCTTCCCCGCCTCACCTGAGCCTGCTCTGAAACACTGGAGGCAATACAGGCAGAAAGGCAATCAAACACCACATACTTTAAGGACATGAAGTTTGTCCAATTTGATGGTTTAGAGATAAACTATTTCTACTGAAATGAAATGTAAATAAAAAGCAATATTTCATTTGTTCTGCTCAGCTCCAGTTTCTTTCCCAGCAAGGCAAAGAGATTAAAAAACAGACATATGTCCATGAAAAACACAATCCAATGGTGGGCTCTATTAAATGAAAGACCACTATACAGCCAATATGACGAATATCAAGTGATTTTTTTTATAGTATCACACAAGACTTATAAAGATATATGATCACAATATAATTTTAACTTTTAAAAACATACATCATCCTTGAAATGAAAAAAAAGTCTTAAAATTTTAAACTTTTTAACTTCACAAAATTTTCGCAAGCTTTACCAAAGTGAAATTATAAACACACTTTTCCACTTTTTCAAAGTAAGTCATTATCTGCTTCAAGCATTAGATGATGTTAAATAAAATCCCTAGTCAATTTAGCGATTTCAAGATTGACTTGTTTCACTTCCTCACCTTAAATGAGCTGCAAACATTTCGTCATAAGGGGGTTCCAAAACTTGTTGACACTTCTCTTCTGGAGAGGCCAACTAAATAAGAAGAAAAATGATAAAAATAAAATTAACAGGCACAGAAAGAATGCAATGTTTAGAAAGAAATTTAGACAAAAAACAAAAGAACAAAAACAAAAAACAGGAATATGTCCATGAAAAACATAAGCCAATGGTGGGCTTTACTGTGTTTCAAAAGAATTTACACTTTATAGTTAAGAGTAACACTTTACACTTTAACACTTGTAAATAAAAGGTTCATTACTTCAACAAATACTTATCAAGCATGAGCTATGTATAAGGCACTAGATGAATACAATGTGTTCTCTGCTGCAGGCTAAGAAATAGTCTAGGTACTTTCATACATATCTTAATATTTAATAGCCAGTTAGTCAAGAAATATTTGGTAAGCAGCTACTATGTGCTAAATAAATAAGGTCTAATGAGTTAGAGAAGATGGCATGTTAGGATGCCACTCCTCAGCCGTTTGGTGACAGATAAAGTCACCCTCTCTCTGTGTCCTGAGCTCGACTGACATTTATTTGTAACTCTTCCTTTCTTCTCAATGGCCAAATTTTAGATAATACGAGCATCACAATGTATTATACAGCACAATGAATTAAAAGAAAAGGAATCAACAAGTCTACTCTGATACTGATATAATATATATGTATATGTGGGATGGAAAAATTACATCATCAGAAAAATCACCATTCTAATAAAATAATTCAGACAATGGCTACCAGTGAATGGAACCATCAGATGGAAGGTTAATAGGGAACTTTACACTGAAGAACTCAGCCTTAGATTACAAATGGGCAAACAGATATCTATACCCCAGATGCAATAGGAAGCACATAACACCAACTATGGAGTATCTGGCCAGCAAGCTGAACTTGAGTCTCATCAAGTCTCTGGCACTAATTTCTATTTAGGGAATGGTTTTTGATGTGTTCTGCACAGTAGAACAACCTAGAGAACTTTAAATTAAAAAAAAAAAAAAAAAAGCCAGAAACTGGTTTACATGATGCTGAAGTGCAGCTAATAAGCTGCCAAATATAATCACCAATATATAAACTCAAACTCTAAAACTTTTCTTAGGAAGCCAGTTACCCTCTCTGTGTGCATAAGTATTTGTTGAAGTAATGAAGTAATTTGTTGAAGTAACACTTTATTTACAAGTGTTAAAGTGTAAAGTGTTACTCTTAACTACAAAGTGTAAATTCTTTTGAAACACAGTAAAGCCCACCATTGGCTTATGTTTTTCATGGACATATTTCTGTTTTTTGTTTTTATTTTTTTGTTTTTTGTCTAAATTTCTTTCTAAACATTGCATTCTGTAACCCTCTCTGTATGCATAGTCCTTTCAACTACCTGAAGCCGTGGGTTGGCAACATGAGGGTGTTTGAAAGATACCAGCTCTGCACAGGATGCCCCATCTCTGGTGTCGATTGCTTCGTAGACCTGAAGCATTTGAAAAGAGAAACACTAAGGAGAAAATAAAACACTCTATTCTAATAGAACCTAAACAACTCATTGTAAAATTCATTTTCCCTACTTTGAAAGGAGTCGATAATTAAAATATAACAAGTCAGTAGTCTCTTTAACCAGCAAACTATAACTACATTTCAAAATGAGATCTTCTGGAGGCAAATAAACAGGTGATTTACTGTTAAAAACTATGAAAAAGCAGAATAAGCTAGTTTATAATTTGGTTACTAATGAAAGTGAATTATTCTCATTTACTCAGTCATACCAGCAAACATTTGAAAATTCACTCACACGGCTTATAGGGGAAAGAAAACCTTATACACCACATATTTCTAAAATTCAAAAGACTTCTATTCAACCTCAATATATAATAAAAATGGGAATAGTAATAGCTAAATGAATGGTGTCATGGTCATACAATAGGTAGCTGTGTGCTACGAAATAGAATGAAACATATCTACATGTAATAACATTGGAAAGTGTGCTTCCTGTTAAGCAAAAACAAGGAAAAGAAAAAAAAGAGTTAGTTAGAGGAAAAATGCATAACATGATCTGGGAGGAAAAAAGGTATGTATGACATGTAAGAACGAGAAGACATGCAGGCCATGCCACACCAGCTGACTCCTTGGTCAGTGGGGTGGGGAGTGAGGAGACTTTCATTTTACATATTTCTATACTGCAAGACTGTGTTACAGCAGACATGTGTAATTAGAAAATCAAATGATATTTTAAAATTACATTTACCAAAATGACATAAAAATCCTAACTGTATAAGTGAAAAGAAAGCTAAGTACAAAGGTGCACAGTATAATTTATCTACAATAAAATAAAATTAAATATGTAAATTTTATGCCCACAAAGACTCCAACGATGGATATCATAAAAAGAGTATCCAAATGAGAAGGTGCTCACATTCCGAGCCACCAGTAAAATGCAAGAGGACATCTCTTATGCCCACCGAAGAGTTAAAATTGAAAAGGCTGACCATACTAAACACTCCAAGAATATAAAGCAACTGAAACTCTCACACATTGCTGGGGAAGGGTGAAGTGGCATCCGCTTATGGACACTGTTTGGTATGTCCACTAAAGAGAACACACACCTACTCCTCCACCCAGTAATCCTATGCCCAGGCACCTGCAGCCAGAAGAAATGGAGGCATAAGCGACCAGGACAGCAAGGGGCTCCAATTCCTCATCTGTTGCATCACTTAGGGTATCGACTAAGTGTACATCACCTTATCTAATAAAGAATTTGCCACCTGACTATTCAAAAACTACATAAGCACTTATATTTTGAGCCAGCAATCCCACTTCTAAGGATTTACTTTACAACAAGAAAAAGGATATACTCATGCAGGTTTACTTATTGATATCTTCTGAGTAACCATTTGTCCCATAGAATATTTGTCCCATAGGTGCCTTTATCTCAAGGAAGCTGATAAAGGCTGCCAAAGTTCCCGTCATCATGAGGTGGGTGTGTGTGTAGGAAAACAGAGGGATGGCAACAGACTATCTTAAAGAACTGGCCCGTCCCTCAGTGGACACTAAGATAATGGGCAACCCAGTCACCCGCTTCAGTCACTGTTAATGTCATGTCCTGGAAGCTTTGGCCTTTTAATTTAAACACCTCACTAGACCATGCAGCACCCAGGGGCATCCCTGTTTAGCAGCACCCCTGTGGGCCCAGTCAGGGACTACAAAGCTCACCAGGTGAAGCATTCTGGCCCTGGGCACTTCTAGAAATAACTTCTCCTTCTTGGCTGCCGCTGGTCACCTTATATCCTTCAGGCTTCAATCTGGTCTACAGGGGAATCATCTACCTTGGGAAGTCATAATTCCTCAAAAATACATTTACTAACTCTGTTCTCTAAAAAGTTCTAGAAGTAATGACTCCCAGTAGCAAGGAGTACACCTAGTACTCAGAATGGTTTTCTAAATTCCATTCCCCACTAAAGGAAACCGGAGCTCCCTGAAGAAACAGCCGATTGAGCACTGGGACAGGGAAAGAACTAGGTAAGCCTGGAAGAGATACTATTGCGCCAAAAAAGCAGGGCTCAAAGAAGGATGAAGACCTATAAAAAAGCCACAGAAACCAGTTTGAAGGGGTTCTCAGTGGCCAAATTTAGAACAATTTGAGCTTCAAAAAGCATAATATTCTTAATATTGGTACTGGATAACTTGGCATTAAAAATAATCCATAATGATACTTTTTAAAAGAGCATAAGGAAAAGCATTTTTTAATTGATGAAATACTAACAAATGTAGAAAGAACAATAGAAAATCACCACTTGGCAAATACTGATGCAATAACTGACTTGAAAAAGGGCCACAAATGAAAGCTGAAACCACTTTGTGAAAGAGTCTCAGGGAACAGTATGTTCTTGGTTTCTCCTAGTCCACTCAACAGATTACAAATTACAAAAGAAAAGGTACCTCAACACTGGACCATTTGATGGACATCTCTTTAACCTAATGAATCAGTTAGTATCACCAATGCGCGCCTCCTAAGGTGAGGCTATGGGAAATCCATACTATCAAATGCAACGTGAATCTAATCATTAGGAAACAGTCAAAGGCAGATTGTGAGATATCTACAAGTCAACTGGCCTGGACATTTAAAAAATGTTAAATGTCATAAAAGATGCCTCCTCCCAAAAAAAAAGGACAAGAAGACTCTTTTAAATTAAAGAGAACTAAAGGCAAAAAAAAAAAAAAAAAAAAAGGAAGAAAAAAACAAATAAACAAAATAAAAACAATGCAGTATGTGATCTCACTGGATCCTGGTTTTAAAAAAGTTCTAAAGAACACTTTGGGGGGACATGGAAAATTAAACCACAGATTCTATATTAGAAAATAATGATGTTAATACTGATGTTAAATTTCCTGAGTATACTACAGGCACTTCAGTTATACAGTAAAACCACTCCGGTGCTAGGTGAATGCACAGTGAAGGGCCATGGTGTCAGTAACTTTCTTTTGAATGGTTCAGGGAAGATAGGGTACACACATGCCCAGAGGGACAGATAAGACAAACATGGTATATCAGATGAGGAGTATACAAGTCTTCATTGTACTTTCAACTTTTCTACAGGTTTGAAATTTTTCACAATAAAAGTTGGGAGGAAAATAAAAATTTTAAACGTAGAGTTTTTAAAAAGTAACTTGCCATTTGAAATAAGAGTTTGTAAAATGGACCAAAGAATGAAATAAAGGACACTAAAAAAATAACAGCAGCTCTCAGAGAGACTAGAAATGTGATCTACCTCTGGATATGCAAACTGATCTTTTTTCTAAGTAGAACACCAATTTTAAAAGAATATATGGGAAAATGTCTGATAAATTAATTCAACCTGTCACCTCCAAGCAGAAACTAAATCGAATGACTGTTGAAACTCTGAGCCCTGAATAACAAGGGTCTCAGTAGATGAGGGGACAACTTAGTCAAAGACAGCTCTCCTTAGGCCTCTTGAGATAAGTGTGCTGGCACCCAAGACTCTGATTGCTAGCTCTTACACTAGGGTTGCTACTTTAAGTGGCAGGTTACCTTGAGAAATTCTCCCCACATCCCCAACCCTGGACAAAAACAAACTAACTTACTGCCTGCTATAAAATGGGTGGATTCTCCAAGTGGTGTTTTTCTCTTGATGCCTGTACAGGTACCCTTCTGGGCCCATCACATCACCTGTGAGACTTGGGACCCAGAGGAACTGGTATCAGCATGCTGATGCCATGCTGCTTGCCATGCTGAGTAATAAAGTCCTTAGTCTCTGACCCAGGAATCCCATGTTCCACCAGCATCCATGAAACTAACAGGAGAACTCATAAGCTTATGAGGAGGACAAAATCAAACCCCAGACCTAACAGCCATTCGGAAGTGATTATGGAAACCATGGGAAATGAAAGACTGGACACTTGTCTACAGGTAGTTGTTGGCTGAGAATGTTGTGAAAGTGTCAAATAAGGAAAGGAGATGTATCCAAGTTGACAAGGTTACTGAGATTCAAGAAACAATATACTACGGAAACTTAGAAACAAGCAGGTACTGTTGAGGACAGAAAAAGTTGGCTGAAACTTGGGCTAACAGAGGCAGTGAGCTTCGTGTTAAGAGCATGAACTCTGGAGCTGGAACTCCTGGTTTTAATGTGCTACTTACTTGCCAGTGACCTTAGAAGCCACCTAACTTCCTCTGTAAAATGTGGCTTACAATGGACCTACGTCCTATAAAAACAGTGATAACGAGTTACTATACACAATAGTGCCTGGTTCTTAAAAACCATTCAACGAGCACTAATTGTTCTTCTCATCATCACCCCAGTTTCATCAAATAAGATAGACAATTAAAGGAGATTCTCAGAGTGCTCCTCTGAGAATGTAGAGAACAAGACCAAGGTAGTTTGATGAAACAAGAATATGAAACAGTTAGACAGAGCAGCACTTTAATCCTAACTTTACTCCTCACTACACTGAGTGGTCTGAGCATTGGCAGATCACTCGGCTTTATCACCCAGCCTATGGCAAGCTTCATCCCCTTCTACTTGCCTCCATTTATGCAGTCGACAAATTGTATTGAGCATGCACAATAGTCAGACACCATTCAAGGCACCCAGAATGGAAAAAGAAAAAGAAATGGAACTATGTATGGCAAGAAAACTGTAAAAGGTTAAGAAAAACATAACATTCTAGAGTGATTCTATATCCATGTTGGTTCTCCAATGTCTACATACTTGCTCAACCTTAAGTAAACTTATATTGGAAAATGTTAACTCTGCAAAGATAAAGCCACAGTAGAACTATCCTTAAAGAAAAGGTCTTAGACCTCAGTCAAAAGATTGGCAAATGAATACATATTTATACGGTTTAAGTTAAAATAAAAAACACGTATCTGTTTTTTCCATGATTCTTATTTTAACCACTTTTCTCATTTACACAACTAACGATCCCAATAACCTCGACTATATGCAGCTGCTAACTAGATAGCTTTACCTGGGTGTCAACAGACACCTCCAATTTAACGTGTCCAAACTATATTAACTTTTATCTTCGGATCTGTTCTGCTCATTTGTTGCCTAAGCTAGAAATCCGGGACTCATTCTTGACTCCTCCGTGTCTCTCAATCGCACATTCCTTAATCACCAACTCTTGGTAATGTTCAGATACTTTTAAAATCCATTTCCTCTTTTCCTTATCCTTAGATAAGACCTTATCTAAGACCTTAAATAAGACCACAGTTCTAGGTCTACGAATTAGCATAGTTTAGTGGACAGAATGCAAGCTTTGAACCCATAAATATCTATATCTGAAGTATGCTGCTGCCGTTTACAGACTGTATGTACAAAACTGTGAGACATTTTCCGAAGTACATGAAGTGCTAACACGGAGCTTATACTATATGGAGATATGACTAGAGGCTCGCAGCTGGAACTACGTGCTATCTCCATCTACTTCCACCACTGTCGGAATCAAAACTCGAAGTCAGGCCCTTAGGTCAGGCCTTCAAAGACTACACAAAGACTGAACTCCGACTCCTCCGCGTGGCCAACGGGTCCTTCGGCATCCTCTAGGGCTAGGACACCCTCATCCCAAACACGCACACACACGCACATCCTTAAACTGAAGGCAACGACCATCAGGGCACTCCTAGGTCGCCAAGAAACACAGTAGTGTGCCTGCTTCAATCGTCACTGCTTCCTGTCTGGAGGCCAAGGGCTCAGGCGCAGTCAGCGAGCAGACTCAGCGGGGCAGGCATTGAACACCTCGACCTCAGCCAGACACGTGACGGCCGCCCACTCGGACCCCAAAGTCCGGAAGGCAAAGAGAAGGAGTAGACCCTGCAGACGGCTCGCGACGGGGCCGGCCGAACGTTACCTGCTGCAGGTACTGGTTAATAGTTATGTGCGCCATGGCGGCGCCCACCGCCGGGACCGGGCAGAGCATGCGCGCCGGGATGCGCGTCACTTCCGGCTCGCGGTCCATTCCTAGCCTCGCGCCTGTGACCCCACTTTCCCCGCACGTTGGTTCCGGAGGTAGTGTTCGCGAGAGCGCGAGCCCTAAGCCGGCATGGCGACACTTTGGGGCTGAGGAAGGCTGGGGTCTCTGTGCTAAGATTCCCCCGCCTCCCTCAGCGAAGACAACTCGTTCGCGCACTTTGGGTCCGCCGGCCCGCTCGGGGCGCGCCGGCCCCCGGGAGTTGACAGGACTTGGGCTCTGCCGCCCCCTCGCTGTTGCAAGTTCCACACGGACCGCGGCTGACGCGGACTGGCCGCGCTCGCGAGCCTTGGGGTCGGGGTTCGGGTCGGGGCCGGGGTAGGGTCGGGGTCGGGTCAGAGCTGGGGCCGGGTGGAGGCCGGGAGGCGGTTGGGCCGGACCGAAGCGGCGCTGACGGAGCCGAGAATTATTGAGGGGAGAGGAGAGGAGAGGCCCAGCAGCCCGTCCGCGCGGCTCCGGGAGGAGGTGGAGGAGGCGGCCGAACGGGGCGGGGCGCCCGCTGCTTCCCGGCCGCAGCCATGGCCGACGAGACCCCCAGGAAGGGCAACTTCTCGGCGCTCGTCGGGCACACCAACGGCCTCACCAAGCCCGCGTCCCTCGCGGCGGCCGCCGTCACCTCCAAGCCAGGGGGCGGCGGCGGCTCCAAGAAACTAGTGATCAAGAATTTCCGAGGTAGGTATGGGGAGCGGCCTAGGGAGAGGGTAGTTTGTGGGCCAGGAGGGGGAGAGGGCAGTCACGGAGAGGAGTCTTGGAGGCCGAGGATGGGGTCGGAAAGCTGCCCAGGACAGAGTGGTGGGGGGGCGGCCTGGGAAGAGACCACGGAAGGGCTGGAGGTGTTGAGCAGAGCGGCCGCACTGTGCCGGTTGGGGAGGGGTGGGGGCGGCGCGGTGTGGTGTCGTCTGCTGGATCCCGGTCTGTTCGGAAGTCTCCTTCACGAGTTGGCGGTCATTGGCCCAACCCCTGGGCTCTCAGTAGGTTTGGGGTCTCCGGGTACTTCCGATGAGAGCACGGGCCTTTCCGACTGCCAGCTTAAGCTGCGGTGAATGCAGCGGGTTGAGTTCACTGCTAGCAGCTTTCTCCTTAATCTATACAGTCGGTCCAACTGGAGTAAATTAGGCCAGATAATTCCGGTATTTTGATTCGCACGGCGAAGCTAGAATAAGCAGTAGCTAGTGAAGCTCTTCGTGATGTAATTTTTATTACTTCCTCCACTTTTTATCAGTTCTATCACTGTTAGTATCTCAGTAAACACTTTTGATGTAGATATAGAAATTATAAGATTATTCTTTACTTTTCTCCCAACGCCAAACAATTAACTTTAAATGTTATATAGAGCTTAGTTATTCCATGTTTATACGTTTGTAAAGTCAACTTAAGTAAAAGGAGACTACGATTTTTATGTTTTCTGTTTGTATTTACGGTAACAGTCAATATGAAATGTATTTAGCAAAACGAAGATATTGTGGTTGCATAGTTTGTAACATAAGAAATTTATAAATACATATTTTGTGTCGAGGAAAAGCTAATTTCTGTGTTCTTTATCTATGTGTCTTTTAAAGTACTTTTTTGTAGACTATTTTTTGAGAGATATATGATTGTTAGCATGCATGTCATTCCCCACTGACTATCTGGATTTACAGACCGACCTAAATTGCCTGATAACTACACTCAGGACACCTGGCAGAAGCTTCATGAGGCAGTGAAAGCCATACAAAGTAGTACCTCCATCAGATACAACCTGGAAGAGCTCTACCAGGTAAGGCTCCATGCATGGCAGAAAGTAGAGCTTGTTAGAATTTTCAGTGAGATATAAATGCAGTAGTTTCATAGGCAAGGAAAACTTCAAGACGTTTTGAGGCCAGCATCCTGTCTCTCACCTACCTGGTTGTTTTTATAGTTTTCTAACAGTTGTCCAACTCCAGTGAAATGTGATACAGATGTAGATTGTATGGTCCTTGGTATTGTTTCAGAGTCAATAATGAAGGAAATAATAGAAATCTAAGTATTTGAAGATCACTGGGAGTCCTATGACAACATGCCCCAAGTCAATGAGTGTTTTCATTTTTTGGTAGTTGCGTGATTTTTATTATCAAACTTAAGATCCTAGAAAGATATTTAAAGTTATCCCATTACAGGAGAAAGATGTGTTTCTAAGACTCACGTGATTCTTAACATTTTCCAAATATGCAGCAAGTTAATGTTATAATTCTGTTATGTTATACATAAAACTTATACTCTCACTTGTTAATACAGTCATTTTTCCCACTTCATTGTGTTTTATGACTACTTGTAATTAAAACATGCAAACAGATTTTGATACATTTAACTTAAAGTCATAATATTCCCTTTCTAATAAAAATGGTCAAAAGTACATTTTACTTTTTGGATATTCAATTTACGAGCAGACTGGTTTTTCTGATATCTTGTTTTTAAAGAATAGCCTTTGTTAACTAGTTATATCCACATTTTAGGTTGTAGTGTGATCAAATTCCTGTTAAGAGATGTAAATCTAAATTTTTTTCTGTTTATGTGAGTGATTACATTATAAAAATTATTGAAAGTACAAAGAAGAAAATTAAAACCACCTATGCTCCTACTATGCAAAGAAGACTACTATTGACACTTTGATGGACATATGTCCCTTCTTTGTCTTACATTTGTGTGAGTTTATTATATTTTTTAATCAACTTTAATAAGATAATTTACATATATATTTCAGTAAGTTTTTAACAAACATATAGTATTGTATACCTGCCACCATAACCAAGATATAGACTATTTCCATCACCTCAAAAAGTTTCCTGAGGTGCCTTTGCATTCAGTCATCTCCCCTGACACCCAGTCCTTGGCAATCACTGATTTTCTTTCTCTCAGTATATTTCACCAGTTCTAGATCTCATTTGAATAAAACCATGAATTTTATAATCTTTTATACCCAATTTCTTTTATTTAGAATAGTGCTTGTGATATTCATGCCGACTGTGTGACAGTAATTTGATTTTTTGTTGTTGTTGCTGAGTGTTATGAATACCACAGCTGGTTATCCTTTCCTCAGTTAATGGTTATTTGGGTTTCCAGTTTGGGGTTATTGTGAATAAAGCTTCTATGAAGATTAATGAATAAGTCTGTGTGTGGACCTGTATTCTCATTCCTCTTGGATAGATATCTAGGAGTAGATTCTCAGGGTTACATGGCAAGTGTATGTTTAACTCGATAAGACATTTCTTGTTTTTCAAAATGGCTACACCACTTTACACATCTACCACCAGTGTATGAGAGTTCAAGTTGTTGCACATCTATGCCAACATTTGGTATTGTCAGTCTTTTTAATTTTAGCTAATTTAGTGTAATTTCACTGTGGTTTTAATTTGCATTTCCTCAGTGATACTAAGGATTTATTTGTCCATTGCCATGCTACATAACTTTTTTAATGAAGTGTGTATTCAACTCTTTTGCTTATTTTTTATGGGGTCATTTATTACCAAATGTTTGAGTTTATTATGTATTCTGTGTACAAGTCCTATACCAGATATTTGCCTTGCAAATAGTATTTTCTCTCAGTCTGCAGCTTATGTTTTGATTCTCTTAATTATATCTTTCACAGAGCAGTTTTAAATTTTGATGGTCTTTGTATCCTTTGCTCTTTTATGGATTGTGCTTTTAGTATGTATCTGAGATCCTAAAAATTTTCTCTTGTATTTCCTTCTAAGACATCTTAGGGTTTTAGGTTTTACATTTAAGTCTATAATCTATTTCGGGTGAATTTTTGTGTATGTTTTGAGGTATAAATCTAAGTTCAGTGTCTTCCCTGTAGATGTCCAGTTCTCGTGCCATTTGTTGTAGAGACTATCCTTTCCCCCACTGAATTGCCTTTGCTTTGTCAAAAATCATTGTCCATATGCATGCAGTGATAATGAGTCTCGAAATCAGGGAGCATTGGCCCTCCAACTTTATCCTTTCTCAAAATTGTTTTGGCTATTCTAGGTCCTTTGTATTTCATATGAGTTTTAGAATCTATCAATTTCTACAAAAAGCCTGCTAGAATTTTGATGAAGATTATGTCAGTTTATAGATCAATGTGGGGAGAATTGATGTCTTGATAATATAGAATCTGCCAGTTGATCATAAGGGACAGCTCTCTGTTTATTTAGGTCTTCTTTAATTTCTCTCAGCAGTGTTTTCTAGTTCCAGTATACGGACCTTGTACAAAGTTATCCCTAAGCATTTCATATTTTTAATCTATTATAAATGGTATTATAATTTTAATTTCTAGTTTTTTAGTGGATAGAAATAGAAATGATTTCTGTATATTGATCTTGTATATTGCTACCTTGTTAACCTCACTTGCTATTTCACATAACCTTGTTATTTCTAGTAGCTTTTTGTAGATCCCATCAGATTCCCTACATAGACAATCGTGTCATCTGGGAATAGAGATTTACTTCTTCCTGATCTGCATGCCTTTTATTTCCTATTTTTGCAACACTGTGCTGTTTAGAACCTCTGGTATGGTTAATAGAAGTGGAAAAAGCAGGTATCTTTATCTTGTTCCTGATTTTAGGGGGAAAGCTTTTCATCTTTTATCATTGAGTATTTTGTTAGTTAACTATGGCTATTTCAAAAATAGCCATTATCAGGTTGAGGAGGGTCCTTCCTGGTCCTAGTTTGCTGAAAGTTTTTATCAGATACGTGTTGGATTTTGACAAAACTTATGAATACTAAAGTAATCATATAATTTTTGTTTTCTAATGTATTACATTGATTGATTTTTCAAATATTAAACCAATCTTGTGTTCCTGGAATCAGCCCTACTTGGTCATGAGGCATTACCTTTTTAATATATTGTTGGATTCGGTTTGCTTATATTTTGTTAATTTTTGCATCAGTGATCACAAAGGTAGATGGTATGTTGTTTGCTCTTTTTATAATGTCTTCGTCTGATTTTGATATCAGAGAAATGCTGATAAATGAGTTGGAAATATTCTCTCATATCATTTTCCAGAAGAGTGTGTAGAATTAGTATCATTTTTTCCTTAAATGTTTGATTCCCCTGTGAAGCCATCTTGGCTTTCTTTGTGGAAAGATTTTAAACTGCAGTATAGCCTTATTCAGGTTATCCATTT